GTCACTTCTGGGGTGTGAGTTTTCATTCGCATATAGTCCTGGGGACCATTCAGGCTTGTTCGCATTTGTGTTCCTCACGTGTGCCCCAAAGAATGAGGTGATTTGGTGAAATGCTATGCCCAAGATTACCATCCGAGTTGCCGTCGGGGAAGTGGCTCAAATAGCCTCGGCTATCACTTCCTTTTGACGGCCGTGATGGTCAAGCGGATTAAGGCGCCCTGTAGTTACCAGTTGCGTTGCTTCTGGGAGTATGGGTTCGAGTCACTTCTGGGGTGTGAGTTTTCATTCGCATATAGTCCTGGGGACCATTCAGGCTTGTTCGCATATATATATATATATATATATATATATATATATATGACATCACCCTAACAAGAGAAATGTTGAACAAAAATAACTGTATAATAGACAAAACCCAAGATGCAAGAAGATTACAAATTCTTGAAGCAATTCACATAAGAATAGAAAACCTACCATGAACACCCAAATCACGGAACTATTTACTCTACCCACCATGAGAGTAAGGACAAGATCAGAACATAACGATCGATGCCAACACAGAAGGCACTGTTCAACATAACAGGCCAATTACACTTGATTAATCTTTGTATGTAGATAGGAGCTGCCTCGTATGAGCCAATAGGCCTTCCGCAGTTACCTCTATTCTTATGTTCATATGTTTCACCCCCCATTTATCCCTTATGTATCCCCCCCATGTTTTCACCTTTTTTGTCTTATCACCTGACCCAGTGTAGGTATAACATCAACATATCCTGAAAATTCTTTTCACTTGAGAATGAACCATGGAGGTTCGAAACGTTGTGCAAATTGTATAAATAAGTGCAATACATTCTATAGTAATTCACTTCTTTTCTTCACCTTGAAATTACGAAAATGACTTTTGGAGAACTCCTATTTCAGCTAAGCCCTGATGCTAAGAAAATAGTTAGAGGGATAGAAGCCCTAAATCAGAAGATAGTAAACACAGAATATGCGGTCATATTCAATGAGTATGTTTAAAAGAAACCTGCTGCCAGTATACACCAATATATATATATATATATGTCGTATATATATATATATATATATATATATATATATATATATATATATATATATATAGAGTGTATTACACTTATTTGTGTAATACATAATATATATATATATATATATATATATATATATATATATATATATATATATATATATATATATATATATATAATATATATATATATATATATACAAAATATATCATAAATAACACCCATTGAAGTGTGTTATGCATGAGATATGCCCCGGAGTGACTAGCGGACAGGTCGCTTAAGATTCCGGCCAGAGCAGCGACAACCTGTTTATATGACTGGGAAGGATGACCCTGGCTCGAGCAGAGACATATACAACGGGTGAATGACAACTACTGACCCGCTCTGGTATCCTCTGACTTTTTAATTTGACGGACCAACACACCCTCCCTCCCTCCCTCCCTCACTCTCTTCCGTCATTGGTCATCTCTCCTCCCGTGTGTCTTAGTAATTCCTCGCTCGGAGCAGGGACCGTTGTCTGGCAGGAGGTCTTGTGACGCAGATGGATGGGTAGGTCACACACACACGTATATATAAAGAAAATCACGGGTCTTGGAGGCAGTATCCTTAGCGACACCAGTCATGGTAAGTTTGCCTCTCCTCTTAATTTACTCCGGGATGTATCTGTGATGCAACAAACATACACATACGCATGTGCTAATTAATGTGATTGACCAAGAATTTTAGGATTAAATTTTATGCAATGAAAGAATAAACACATAGATTTTTTATATTTACCCATAAAGCCACTTGCAGGATGTATCAGAATTATCTACATACACACACACATACAAAAATACACATACCAACCCATCCTCTTGTTTACATAGTAGTTTTTGTAACTATGTACACCATAGTTACAGCGGGCGCCTGACAGCTGTGTGGACTGCGCTTCAGATTCGTAGTCCTGTCGAGGTTCCGGGTTCGATCCCCGGTGGAGGCGGAGACAAATGGGCAAAAAGTTTCTTTCACCCAGATGTCCCTGTTACCTAGCAGTAAATAGGTACCTGGGAGTTAGACAGCTGCTACGGGCTGCTTCCTGGGGGTGTGTAACAAAAAAGGAGGCCTGGTTGAGGACTGGGCCGCGGAGACGCAAAGCCCCGAAATCACCTCATGATAACCATAATACAAATATTGACCTACTAAGCAATTAAATAGTAGAATTTGGAACTATTCACATTATAGTGTCCTAAAAATATGAAGCTAAAACCAAACTTAAATATTCCTGTGCCTAGTATAGCACACATATGTACTATATTAAACCTCAGATAGCGTGTATTCGGCCTGTGAAGGTTAGCTGATGTTAGATTAGGTTAGTTTAGTTAGTTTAGGTTGCCCTCTCTTATGTCTCTGAAACATAGATGCAAAACCTTCTTGTTTGTCCCAACTCAATCGTTCAGATTTCTACTTTCTAACTGCGTTGTATGTCGATATATGTACTATCATCGTTACTATAAGTACCACCAAAACCGGGGGATGGGTTGATGTATTCACACATACACTCGTGCAGCTCCAGCTGGGAACTGGTACCTTCTCAAACGCATAAGATCAAGATGGTACAGATTTATCACCAATTTTTTTTTATGAAAAACACTTCAGTTATGAGAAGTGGCGTGAAGGACAGACTTGCAAATCAAACAAAACGAAGAAGCAAAGAATTTAACAAATAAAGATACAAATAATTATAATAATTTATTAATATTTATTATAATTATTTGTAACTTTATTTCATGAATTCTTTGCTCCGTCTTCAAGACGTTAACAACTGCAGACTCCTGAGTTGTCTCTCATTATCGTATTTCGAGGCGTCTTTGTGACGTCTTGAGTGGTGGGTAGAGCGACGATTTTTTTGTATTACAGGGTTGGTGTTCGAACCCCGATGATCAAAGGTTGAGCACTGATCCATTGCTACCCTGGAACCGGTCGGCCGAGCGGACAGCACGCTGGACTTGTGATCCTGTGGTCCCGGGGTCGATCCCGGGCGCCGGTGAGAAACAATGGGCAGAGTTTCTTTCACCCTATGCCCCTGTTACCTAGCAGTAAAATAGGTACCTGGGAGTTAGTCAGCTGTCACGGGCTGCTTCCTGGGGGTGGAGGCCTGGTCGAAGACCGGGCCGCGGGGACACCAAAGCCCCGAAATCATCTCAAGATAACCCTTTCATATCCCTGCTATTATCCAGTTCTAATAGATCTTCCAAGAGCTATCTATTCCTTCTGGCTTAGCGACTTCGCTTATAAATCAACTTACTCATCTATATAATTATCATAATATTTTGCACTCTGCAACCAGAGATACCTTACCTTGCGATGATTTCGGGGCTCAACGTCCCCGCGGTCCGGTCCCCAAACAGGCCTCCTAAATAGTCACTGTAGATACTTATTAGATAGCCACTGTAATGCTTATTGTGTTGCAATGTAAGATGGGGATTTGAAGAAATGTACTTGTCTTACATATTATGATATGATATGCACCTTTGATATAAATTTTGAATCAGTTTTAAATCCATTGCATGTTTTCAATTTGTTAAAGAACAAGTATTTGGCTTTAATGGACAGAAATCATAACTATAATATTTATACATTATAATAGTTACTTTTTTAAACATTGTCATGGTATTTAAATGTTAAAATAAGTGTTGGTAATCTTCCCATTCTTTGGTGTTGAAAACATAATAACTAACATTGTTATTGATCAAATGTTTATCACCAAATTAAGGCAAATGTTCTATAATAAAATTCACTAAGAAGTTATAGTTACATAAAGTTTCACGAAAAGAAACTTAAATAGTATGCTGTTGAAATATTTTACTTTTATTCTGTTAAGTAAGTGCCTTAACTGTTACTATCAGAGTTTGTAAGTTATATATTTTCCTTAGCTAGCCTTTTCTTACTTGTTTTATATATGTAATGTTTAATATTTATATTAAAATGTATCATTTGTCATTTTTTCGACCAGTTGATTCGTGTCAAATTTACCTTGTAATCTTTGATGTTCAAGTGGTAGAATAACTGTGCCATTGTCGGATTTTATTGGTAACAGTATAGCTCGGAATAGTCAAGTCAGGCAATTTGCTAATTAGTAAAATTTAGGATTTCGTCGCACACATAAACTCTCTAGAATTGCTAATTAGCTCATGCTAGTAATAAAGAGTGCAGTCCCCGTGGTGTAGGGATTAAAACACTCGCTTGGCGTTTCGCGAGCGCTTTGTCCTGGGTTCGTATCCTGGCCGGGGAGGATTTACTGAGCATCAATCCTTAATTGTAGCCTTCGTTTACCCAACAGTAAAATGGGTGCCTGGTTGTTAAACAATTTGAGGGGGGGGGTGTAGTATTTCGGGGAACATAGGATTAAGGACTATGTAAAATCGAACCAGGACCTGTAAAATACGATGTCAAGATGGTATAGCGACAATCTCGTGTCTTACATGTCTGACTGACCATTTTGGTATCATTGCTGTGTGCAATTACAATTTGTATATCTAAAAAAGGATGTTATGTATACATATATATATATATTTATTGTCGTATTACATATATTCATAATTTATGCACAAATCTTTGTGTAGCCGGTCGGCCGAGCGGACAGCACGCTGGACTTGTGATCCTTTGGTCCAGGGTTCGATCCCAGGCGCCGGCGGGAAACAATGGGCAAAGTTTCTTTCACTCTATGCCCCTGTTACCTAGCAGTAAAATAGGTACCTGGGTGTTAGTCAGCTGTCACGGGCTGCTTCCTGGGGGTGGAGGCCTGGTCGAGGACCGGGCCGCGGGGACACTAAAAAAGCCCCGAAATCATCTCAAGATAACCTCAAGATAGGCATATAGTGCGTTTCACTATCTAGGCAAGTTATTTCTATCTAGCCCCTGTGAAAATAATTCAATTGTTCTATTAGCTGAACCAAAATTTTAATGTTTCAGATAGCTAGAGTGACATGTCTCCTGCCTCTTCTGGTGGGCCTGGTCTTGGCCAGCTGCTTTGCTGTGATGGGTCAGAGTTACGACGACGGAGACTACGATAACACAGGAGGAACCTTGGATGATTCCGGATACGATGGGAATTTAGGTGAATCCTACGTGGGTCCTGGAGGATCTTATGTGAGTCCGGGTGGATCCTATGTGGGTCCGGGAGGATCTTATGTGAATCCAGATGGTTCTTATGTGAATCCGGGTGGATCTTATGTGAGTCCTGGTGGATCCTATGTGAATCCTGGTGGATCTTATGTGAATCCGGGTGGATCCTATGTAAATCCGGGTGAGTCCTATGTTAGTCCGGGTGGATATTACGGCGGGTCTTCTGTAGGATACCCAGGCAGCCCGGTAGTGGATTACAGCGGATCATCCTCCGAGGAAAGTGACGGAGGTTTCGTTTCCGGTGTCGGTGACGGGCCCGTCGTGGATTACCAGTGACGGAGACTAATCCGAGCCGTCGGTGAGGGGACTGTCGGGGATTACCAGTGACGGAGACTAACCCGAGCCGTCGGTGAGGGGACTGTCGGGGATTACCAGTGACGGAGACTAACCCGAAACGTCGGTGAGGGGACAAACGTGGATTACCAGTGACGGAGACTAACCCGAACCGTCGGTGTCAATACTCGTCTCCAATTTTCTCAGAGACTTCTCTAACGGACCAATTTTATCAGTCTTGTCCAGTACAAGATTTTCTGCGTCTTCTCAGTGGTCATCGACCATCTATGTGCAATATCTATTTACCTATAGACTAAAGGTACATATCCTTCATCCTTCTCAACTGAGCATTAAATAAAACTCTCCCAACAATAACCAAAGGCATTTTTTTTTGTGTATCTCCCACCACCCTGATCTTTGACACTTCCGGCCACAACTACGCACCACAGGAGTAGACGGACCTTCAACAGCCTTTGAGCAAGAGACCTAACTCTATGATCCCACTCAGTCATTCATTGTAGGTAATAAAGGTGGTTTTCGACCACATACCAGTAATTGTCCTGTTACAGACAACTGCCTTCTAGTTTTGAAACCCCCTAAGTCATGGGTATTGAAACACTCAGTTAAAACCTTTAAACGGGTAATTAAGGAGGTCGGCTCCCATAATCAGGCCTACCAAACGACCAACCTGTCAATTATAAGTTGAATTGCCTGCCGTCAGACATCCCACAACCCACCTGAGGGCGGCAGACATCCCAACCCAACTGAGGGCGGCAGACATCCCAACCCACCTGAGGACGGCAGACATCCCAACCCACCTGAGGACGGCAGACATCCCAACCCACCTGAGGGCGGCAGACATCCCAACCCACCTGAGGACGGCAGACATCCCAACCCAACTGAGGACGGCAGACATCCCAACCCAACTGAGGGCGGCAGACATCCCAACCCAACTGAGGACGACAGACATCCCAACCCACCTGAGGACGGCAGACATCCCAACCCAACTGCGGACGACAAAAGACTCAGCACACAAAGCTCAGCTACTCTACTAGTAGTTCATTAACGCTTCAAGCAACATATATCCCACTGCCATATACGACTAGAACAAATATACAGTAAAACAGCATATTTAAAAAAAAAAACAGAGTTCGTCAAGCCTTTCGAAAGAGCCTGCTTTGAACGGAAATCACAAACGACTGAATCAGAACAAGACCATTTGCAGGTGACCTGTAAAACAATGACCATGGACATGATGCTCCACTTTCTCTCCAGTCCTCCACACGCCATCTTTACAGAATAAAACACAATGTACATCCCTGGAAGCCGCAACACATCATCAACTCCACAATAAATTCTTTGAACCTCACCCAAAACCTTAAGGCAGACTCGCTAACAAAAAGTTGAGAGAAATATCCAGAAATCAGACTTCCTAAACCAACAGATTCAAATCTAGAAGGATGGGACAAACGAGACTTTATTTAAACATAGTTAGAATACTGAAGAATAACTTGGTATTCTGAAAGAAATGAAAATCAAAATTAAATGGATTTCAGTCATGTGAGGCTAAGTATTTTTTTTTTCTCAACATCTCGAATCTATGAACGGGAAATGTAAAGCTGGAACTACCTGCACTGTTTGGATATCAATTACTTATTAGTTATACTTGTGTGTGTATATATATATATATATATATATATATATATATATATATATATATATATATATATATATATATATATATATATATATATATATATATATATATATATGTCGTACCTAGTAGCCAGAACGCACTTTTCGGCCAACTATGCAAGGCCCGATTTGCCTAATAAGCCAAGTTTTCCTGAATTAATATATTTTCTCTAATTTTTTTCTTATGAAATGATAAAGCTACCCATTTCATTATGTATGAGGTCAATTTTTTTTTATTGGAGTTAAAATTAAAGTAGATATATGACCGAACATAACCAACCCTACCTAACCTAACCTAACCTATCTTTATAGGTTAGGTTAGGTAGCCGAAAAAGTTAGGTTAGGTTAGGTTAGGTAGGTTAGGTTGCCGAAAAACAATTAATTCATGAAAACTTGGCTTATTAGGCAAATTGGGCCTTGCATAGTAGGCTGAGATCTACGTTCTGGCTACTAGGTACGACATATATATATATATATATATATATATATATATATATATATATATATATATATATATATATATATATATATATATATATATATATATATATATATATATATATATATATGTCGTACCTAGTAGCCAGAACGCACTTCTCAGCCTACTATGCAAGGCCCGATTTGCCTAATAAGCCAAGTTTTCATGAATTAATGTTTTTTCGACTACCTAACCTACCTAACCTAACCTAACCTAACTTTTCCGGCTACCTAACCAAACCTAACCTATAAAGATAGGTTAGGTTAGGTAGGGTTGGTTAGGTTCGGTCATATATCTACGTTAATTTTAACTCCAATAAAAAAAAATTACTTCATACATAATGAAATGGGTAGCTTTATCATTTCATAAGAAAAAAATTTGAAAAAATATATTAATTCATGAAAACTTGGCTTATTAGGCAAATCTGGCCTTGCATAGTAGGCTGAGAAGTGCGTTCTGGCTACTAGGTACGACATATATATATATATATATATATATATATATATATATATATATATATATATATATATATATATATATATATATATATATATATTAGTATATTTTGGTAGCAGTCTTTCCTGTAGACATATATTATTAAATATGACCGAAAAAGTAAGATTAATAATTCTAACACGAATTTTCTCAATCTTTCGTACATTACGCTTCACTGTTGGAGGTAAATCAAAAATCACTTCTCCAAAATTCATTTTTATTTCTAGTCTGACGCGACACGGGCGCGTTTCGTAAAACTTATTACATTTTCAAAGACTTCACAAATACACAACTGATTAGAACTTACGTATCTCTGCTATTATATCTACATTTGAGTGAGGTGGGAGGGATGATGTGGCATATAGTGACGTGGCATTAACACAAGACAGAACATGAGGGGATATTAATAGGGTATTAAAAGTATCAACACAAGACAGAACAGAAACAATGGGTATTGAATAGAAGTGTTTGTAGAAAGCCTATTGGTCCATATTTCTTGATGCTTCTATATTGGAGCGGAGTCTTGAGGTGGGTAGAATATAGTTGTGCAATAATTGGCTGTTGATTGCTGGTGTTGACTTCTTGATGTGTAGTGCCTCGCAAACGTCAAGCCGCCTGCTATCGCTGTATCTATCGATGATTTCTGTGTTGTTTACTAGGATTTCTCTGGCGATGGTTTGGTTATGGGAAGAGATTATATGTTCCTTAATGGAGCCCTGTTGCTTATGCATCGTTAAACGCCTGGAAAGAGATGTTGTTGTCTTGCCTATATACTGGGTTTTTTGGAGCTTACAGTCCCCAAGTGGGCATTTGAAGGCATAGACGACGTTAGTCTCTTTTAAAGCGTTCTGTTTTGTGTCTGGAGAGTTTCTCATGAGTAGGCTGGCCGTTTTTCTGGTTTTATAGTAAATCGTCAGTTGTATCCTCTGATTTTTGTCTGTAGGGATAACGTTTCTATTAACAATATCTTTCAGGACCCTTTCCTCCGTTTTATGAGCTGTGGAAAAGAAGTTCCTGTAAAATAGTCTAATAGGGGGTATAGGTGTTGTGTTAGTTGTCTCTTCAGAGGTTGCATGGCTTTTCACTTTCCTTCTTATGATGTCTTCGATGAAACCATTGGAGAAGCCGTTATTGACTAGAACCTGCCTTACCCTACAGAGTTCTTCGTCGACTTGCTTCCATTCTGAGCTGTGGCTGAGAGCACGGTCGACGTATGCGTTAACAACACTCCTCTTGTACCTGTCAGGGCAGTCGCTGTTGGCATTTAGGCACATTCCTATGTTTGTTTCCTTAGTGTAGACTGCAGTGTGGAAACCTCCGCTCTTTTCCATGACTGTTACATCTAGAAAAGGCAGCTTCCCATCCTTTTCCGTCTCGTAAGTGAAACGCAGCACGGAACTCTGCTCAAATGCCTCCTTCAGCTCCTGCAGATGTCTGACATCAGGTACCTGTGTAAAAATGTCGTCAACATACCTGCAGTATATGGCCGGTTTCAAGTTCATGTCGACTAAGACTTTTTGCTCGATGGTACCCATGTAGAAGTTTGCAAACAGGACACCTAGGGGAGAACCCATGGCGACCCCATCTACTTGCTTATACATGTGCCCATCCGGGCTCAAGAAGGGTGCCTCTTTAGTACAAGCTTGGAGTAGTTTCCTCAGAATACTTTCTGGCATGTCAAGAGGAGTACAGGCTGGATCACGATACACTCTGTCGGCTATCATTCCGATTGTCTCGTCCACAGGTACGTTGGTAAACAGCGATTCTACGTCCAACGAGGCTCTTATCCCTGTGGCCCGTGTGCCCCGCAGTAAGTCCACAAATTCCTTTGGAGACTTCAGGCTGAAGGCGCAAGGGACATAAGGAGTCAGCAGGCCGTTGAGTCGCTTCGCCAGTCTGTACGTGGGTGTGGGTATCTGGCTAATGATTGGCCGAAGTGGGTTTCCAGGCTTGTGCGTCTTGACATTTCCATACGCATATCCAGGTTTACATTCCCCAATGATCTTTGGCAGGTGGAGTCCGGATTTCTTGGCGTTCACAGTTTCGATCAGTTTGTTGACCTTTGCTTTTAATTCGGCTGTAGTGTCCTTCGTTACCCTTTGGAACTTAGTTTGGTCAGAGAGTATGATGTTCATTTTCGCCAGATATTCGTCTTTTTTAGAATGACATATATTGGCGACTTGTCACCTCTCCTGACAACTATCTCCTTGTTCTCACGAAGGCTTTTAGCTGCCGCTTTAAGCTCGGGGGACAGTATGGTGCTTCTGTCTTGTGTTGATACTTTTAATACCCTATTAATATCCCCTCATGTTCTGTCTTGTGTTAATGCCACGTCACTATATGCCACATCATCCCTCCCACCTCACTCAAATGTAGATATAATAGCAGAGATACGTAAGTTCTAATCAGTTGTGTATTTGTGAAGTCTTTGAAAATGTAATAAGTTTTACGAAACGCGCCGGTGTCGCGTCAGACTAGAAATAAAAATGAATTTTGGAGAAGTGATTTTTGATTTACCTCCAACAGTGAAGCGTAATGTACGAAAGATTGAGAAAATTCGTGTTAGAATTATTAATCTTACTTTTTCGGTCATATTTAATAATATATATATATATATATATATATATATATATATATATATATATATATATATATATATATATATATATATATATATATAAACACAAGAGAATAAGGGACACATCATTCCACTAGGGTACACCTCAGAATAGAGTGAGGAGACACCTCTCTCTACAAATCACCCAACCCTCCTATTCGTAGAGAGCGGCGAAGGGTAGGTTCAATTCGAGGTTCGGGTTCTAGTGTCACCGTGGGCTTCTTTTTCAGGTACATCCTCAGAGCTCAACGTTTTGAGAGCACCGAGTCTCTCTACCACTACTGGCTGGGCCATCTTAGATAGTTAGATGTCATCCCTTAGAGTAAATATCCTTGCAGACTGGTTCGTTTGGGTGATTGCATGTTGTAGGTATAATAACGGTTGGAGGGCTGCAAGGTTTTGCAGGAGCAGCAAAGGGTGAAGTATTGCAGGAATAGCAAATGTTGGAGTGTTTTAAGTGTTGCAGAAACAACAAAAACTTCAGGCCTTCAACTTCAAACCACGGTGGGAGTGTTGCAAGAGAAGCCACGGTGGGAGTGTTGCAAGAGTAGCCACGGTGGGAGTGTTGCAAGAGTAGCCACGGTGGGAGTGTTGCAAGAGTAGCCACGGTGGGAGTGTTGCAAGAGTAGCCACGGTGGGAGTGTTGCAAGAGTAGCCACGGTGGGAGTGTTGCAAGAGTAGCCACGGTGGGAGTGTTGCAAGAGTAGCCACGGTGGGAGTGTTGCAAGAGTAGCCACGGTGGGAGTGTTGCAAGAGTAGCCACGGTGGGAGTGTTGCAAGA